AGGCAAGTCATCCTTGCTCTGGTTTTACCCTTTCATCCCTATGTGGAAAACATAGGTGGCAAGTGGGAGAAACCATCAGAAATTTTAGAAATCAAGGGATAGAGTTGGGAAGAACAAGTCAATAGCCTTCCTGAAGTTTTTAGAAAAACTGGTTTTGTTACCAAAGCTTTTACCAGACTGCCATACCTGTGTGAAGGTGACATGTATAATGACTACTACTTTCTGGATAATGCTTTGTGTTTAAACCAGTATAAACACTTGGAGGCCCAAGTCTTCAGAGCCCACCCCAAAAATGTACACTCCAGAAGAGGGTCTGTGTTTGTGATTATGTGAAGGGAGGACCTTTGGCGACTGCCATTGTAAATATCATGTAGTGATTTAAACAGCCAAAGTACTGATTATTTCTTTGTAGTGTGTAAAAGGAATGTTTTTAAAAACAAAAACCCAAAGCTTTGAGGATTTTTATCAACTCTTTACTCAGTAATACAGGTCACACACCAATTATGGAAGATATTTTTTATACTTAATTGCAGTAAGGACGCATTCCCAAACCATAGTCATAGCTTCACATGGAACCAATAAATATGGATTGTTTTTAATAAAAGACTGGCAATAAAGCTGTCCATTCACTTGCAAATATTTGGTTATAAGGTAGAGCCACTGACACTTTCATGTTTAGAAATTCTTTCTGTCGTTATTCGAAAACTGTTTTTAATCATGCTAATAAACATTTTTGGAGATAAAAATAAAATAATTTCGAAATATTATGTAGAGAATTAAATATAGCCATTAAATCATTAGCATGTAGCTAATAATAGAGAAAATGGAATATTATTGAATAGACAATTTTTTTGTATTTACTTTAGCACTGGGTCTTAGACGTAATCGGTGGTCCTGGATTTTTTAGCATAAATAAATTAGCCTAGAGAGACTATTGTCTCTCTGTTGAGATAATGCCCTTAGTGACTACTGTCTTCATAGGCAATGCTGAGTCATTGTACTTTGCCTTACTGTATATCAGCACATGAATATACTTAATTCATTGATTTTTTTGAATCATTTTCTTTGAATGGGATTTTAAATTTAATAAAAAACATTTCAGTAGTAATGTTCATTTAAAAGAAACAAAAGGTTTCAGGTCTCTACACTATTTATGGCATATTATCCTATCACAACTAAATGTAGCTATCCATAGCTTTGTTTTCAACTTAGTTTAAAGCAGATCTTTTTTCCACTCTTACTATTAAATATTCATTGCACACACTTGGAGACATTTCCCTGACAATTTAGATATAAACCTTATTTTTTAAATTATGTAATACTTTTTGGAATTCATACATAGTATGATGTGATCTTCTAAAACTTGATGTTTTTTAGATGTAAACTGAGGGCCCAGTTGAGTAGATGTGTTTGTTTATAGCATTATTCTGGTAGTTTTTAACCTAACCTAGCTTAAAATCTCCAGTTCTACCTTCATGAAGGAGATGTTTGTACATAAAAAGAACTATAGTAAGAAAAAAAAAAAAAACTATAGAAATCTATTGTAAATCCTCATTTAGCATGATTTTCAACAGTACATAGCTATTATAAATGCCCTTAGCTAAACATGACTGCAGTAAAAGTTAAAAAAGAATCTGGAATTTAATTTATCTTGTTCTGAGATTTAAGTCACCATTATACATATTATTTGCTTAATAAGTTAGATACATGTATGTTAGAAATTACTAATGGAAAATATATGCTCTTTCTATCCTCATTTAAAGTAATTTGGCTACAAGGGTATTTTTTTCAAATCAGTCAACTTTTTTTAATTGTGAGTGCCAGGAATTCATTTTGCAAAGTTATTTACCAATGAGAAATTAATCTGTTATGTAAATTTCACATTGTAATTGTCACAATAATTAATGAACTATTCCTGTAAATATAGGTTGCACAATATACATACACATAGCAACATATATAATATGTATGTAATTTATGTATTAAAATTTCCCCAATAAATATATCTAGATTATTTTACTGGTTAATTTATATTAAATATTGAAATACTTTTAAAATCACAATTGTGTTTTTAAAATGTATTGTTACTTTCCAAGCAAGTGAAAGGTAGTCTGTTACCTTAAAACACATTTCAAGTTATTTGTGCTGTCTGATCATTTAAAGGCCTTTGTGCAAGATTACTGTAATAATATACATATGCGTGTGCGCGCGTGCGTCTGTGTGTGTGAGAGAGAGAGGGGTGAAGAGGGAGAGAGAGATCTGAAAACAACCTATACATCCTTGTTACAGTTATGGCTACCTGACAACTTAGTATAAGAATCAGAACAGCAACTAAAAACATCATATTAAACTCTCTTGCACCCTCTGTTGTTATTTTTGGGGAACACTACACATACCTTCCCATGATTGTATTGGCATTAGACTTATTAAAATCCTTGATAAAATTAATACTTAGTTTATTATACTTATTCAAATTAGATTCATAGTAAATTAGCATTTATTTATAATTCTTGGTTGATGTTTCCTTCTATTACAAATATGTTTTTAATGTATAACACCTTAAATCAAAGAGGAGCCTCTCTGTCTTTGATTTCTCCTAGTTACCAGTTTCAAGCCCCTCCAAATGTTTCACACAAATGAAAATCTCTGCAGGATATACACACTGTATATACAATTTTCCAGAATTATAAATTCTGTCTGTTCTTTTGTAAATCTTTCAATTGTCAGACAATTTCCTTCCAAAATAAGAATCTGGAATCATCCATACTAAAATTAAGAATTTATAACTGTAAGGAACAGATGTTTTCATAAACATTTGCTATAATTAATTTCAACTAGAGGATTGAAGGAATAAAGCAGTTTTTCCCGCTTCAAAACTTTATTGCCTTTTCCCCATAATAGCAAACTTTGAAATCTTTTCTCTAATATTGTTTAGAAAAAACAGTTGTACTCCTTATTTTGGTATGTTTTCGAGAAAGAAAAACTGCTTTTTTTCCTCATTCCCATCCTTTGAAGGTTATATTTAATGTGATATGCTCATTTTGAAACCGGTATAAGGTGAAGAAAATCTTTGTAATATATTATGATGACAAAACCTAGTTTAAAAAACCGAAAGTCTCTTAATTTGAAGGATTTTATATTCGCTCTGGTAAATACCAGCAGAAAGGAAGAAATATTCTATTGGTGAGATCTTACGTGTTTAAGTAATTATAATCTTTAGTTTTCAAGAGAAAGAAGGCTCATATTTTAAGTGTATGATATAGTACGTATTTTATGCTGATTATGGAATGTTTCACAGGAAATGTCTGCAAGCTGTTAAATAACATGTGTTGGAGGAAATTTTCATTTAGTAAGAAACAGAATTTTCTTTAAATCCTTTTAGTTTATTTATTATAATACCATTAATTTTTTAAGAAAATATGTTGTATGAGTGATCTTATAGTATCTATGTTTTACGAATTAACAAAATATACCCAGCTAAATTGATCTTAAACATTTAAGTGATTTTGGATAATTTTCTTCTATAAAATTTGGCAATAGTTTTGAATGCTATAATCCATTTTAGGATTTTTGTTTAATGAGGAAAAAAAATCTGAAAGTGTATTTTGATAAAAGAATAGAGTTAAAAGTAAGTGGACACAGTCCAGTTCTTGTCCTCCTGAACACTTTGGCACAACTGTAAAGATTTTGAAAAGAACCAATATTCTTGACTAATCTGTCAACTATAAAATGTGAAAAGAAAAATAGGTAGCTGTCATTAAAATTACATTTCAGCTTTCAATAACCATTTAATGAGTAGCATAATTATATAAGTATGGTACCTTAAGTACTGTACTCAATAATTAAAAATAATCTCATCTTTAAAGTGAAAGCTCTGTAATTACTATTTGACTTAACCAGGACCACTGTGATGATCTCCAGTGGCACCTTAGATTGTTCAAAGTGGATTAAAAGTGTAAATTAAAATGGATAAATCATTAAATTATTAAGCTTTAAATATCATAAAAATGAATACAACCTGATGTTTGAAAGTTACAAGAACTAGGAGTATAAAATATAATCAGAATCTAGTCTTTTTAATTTGTTTCTAAGAATAAATGGTCTATTTAATAGTAGTATACTATGGTTTCATAAAAACTATACTTTGAAGCATATATTTTAAAATGTAAACTACTAAAATTAAATTTCTATCAATAAGCATATATATTTTATACTGTGGCATTGGTAAGCATTTTTTAAACTTCTTTAGCACATTTATTTTTATTCTATAATCTTTAAACTGATAGGTATGAATTTGTTCTAAGTCTGATACTATGAATATAACAGTTTAAGTGGGATTTTTTTTTTTCTAAATGTTTGGTATTACCATATGATGCAGAAATATCTTTCAATGTTGTTTTTTCATTTTTAAAACTGCTGAACTTTTGCCCACAGTTAAAACATAAAGTTTTAGGAAGAATATTAAAGTGTATTAAAAGCTCGTTAGATTGCATTCACCACCTCCCAACCTGCTTTCTCTTTTACCTCTCTGCTTACCAAATTCCTTGACCATGGAGAGCTGGGGACTGGAAAATACTCCAGGTCGCCTTTCTGTTGCTCCCTTTTGACTGAACCAGTGGTCAGAACAGGTGACTTGGTCACTAACAAAGAGTTGCCCTTTGTTTATAAACACTAGTGTATGATTAAATGGTTTATAAATTTTGGTTTTGTTTGTGATTCATAAAAAGAAAATGTACTGTGCTTCATTTTTTCTGTTAGCAATTATTTTGATAGTATTTCTATCCAATTTAGGAGTGGTGGTATTAGTTTATATTTTAGCATCAAAATGAATATTTTTGCATAAAGACCTCTGATTATAAGAGATATTTGGGAGGTAGGGAAAAAGGGATAATGCTTTTGGACCTAATATACTGTATAGAACTGTCACACAGCAGCTTTTCAACTAAAATATTCAGTTTCATAATCTTCATTATTTCAGTGTTTTTAAATTTTTTTTCCAGGAGATTCAAATAAAAATGGAAGAAGAAGTTCTACTTTAGATTCTGATGGGACTTTTAATTCCTATAGGTAGGTGATAAATACATAGATATATATTATTACAAGGTAGTATACAAGATACCTAATGTTACAGGATTCTAATCTTAGAGTAGTAAGGAAGTGTTACCTGTGCTTTAAAAATAAGTTAAATGTAAAGAATGTTGTGATATGCGATTGTTCTGCAGACTTATTGAGTAATGAACAATATAACCTTTTAAGTTCTTGAGTAAATGGTCTTATTGTCGATATCAGTTGTTAGGGTATAATTGGTACAAATGCTCCCTTAAAATCCATTTTTTATTTTGTTTTCCCAGTATATCTGTTACACTACTAAAGGCTTCCATTTGTTTAAGTTTCCTGTTAAAACAGAATATATTCCTTATGAGCATCTAAGAGAATATGAAATGTAATCCGTGGTTATATCAAGTGCTATTTGTTTATATCCCATTTGGTTCTTCAGCAAACAGGGCAGTTACGTCTCAATTAGTGATTTTTTTTTTTAAAAGGATACGCTAGTTAAGAAAACATGTATCTTCTCTAGTATTTTGGTAATATTCTCCTTATAACTTGATTTGCTTGAGTAAATGTTTATGGATTTTGTACCTTCATAACAGGGAAACCTAGGAAGAAAGATTATATTATTTCCAGTAATATTTGAATATTCATATACTTAACCAACATGGGATAAGAACAAGGTTGTTTTCTTTTAAGGAAAAAAGGTACAGATTCAATAATAATACATTTTGGCATTTTAGATAGCAATGCAGATTCTTGAAGAAATACTTTGAGTACATTGTCGTGATGGTTAATTAGTTCTGACACTTGTGCAGTGACAATAAAATTCACACAAGAACCACTGTACACTTGGAAACTCACTTGAATGTTAAGCTGTAACTCCTTTTATGTAATAAATACAGAGTTTATGATTGGAATCTTTATATTTTTATTTGAAAACATATTGTATATCCCTAATTGGAACTGTGTCATTTGTTTTCTCAGATTCCGGGCAAGCTTTTAATATCTAGAATAGGGCCTTGTATACAGGAAGCACTTAATAAGAATGTGGTAAATGGGAAAGTTTTTTACAATTTGTTTATGAATTCCAGAAATGAGATGGTAATTGAAACACTTGACGTCTTTATTTTATATCAGTTGGGGTCTGTATAAATAATCAGTCATTCAAGTGTCACAGATACTACAAAAGGCTTATGTTCCCATGGTGTTCTAGAAGGGTATTATCACAGCAGTAAAGCTCATATGTTGTCATTATATTTTCACTGTACTCATCCTACCTTATAAATGTTGGAATTCTCCAAATCCTTCTTTTAGTGTTGAAGTGAATATAAAAGATAGTTAAACATTCATGATTTGGCATGTAAGTGAGAAATGTTAATATGATAATATATGTGAAATCTATGTTAGTATCATTGCTAGATATAAATACAATAAAAAAATAGACAAAAGGAAAATGGAGATGTATTTCAAAGGAAGGAAAATCCATATGTGTATAAATTTTGTTGGTGAGTTAAATTTTACAATTACATTTGTAGTTTAGCTAATTATAGTAAATAATGGACATAATATAAAGTTAAGAGAAATGTGTTAATGTGAAGGCACAGTATTGTAGTTTATTTTATTCTTGAATAGTTTGGAAGATTAAAATATTTTAGTATTATTGAATGATAATTGTACTTTGAAAATGAACTCCTAATGCAGCTTTGCAGAATAAATACTAATGTTGTTAACTAATATGATTTTAATCAATGCCTGTCACTGTTGTAATGTTAGGATATTAATTTATTGTTGTAATTAAAAAGGCAAGATAAAAAGCTCAGGTAGTACAATATATAAAAACGAGCTTTTAATAGTTAGCAGGCCAGTGCTGTTATTAAATAGTATAGTATTTAAGGTGCGAAATGAATATTTTTCTACTCAGCAGGCAATAGCTCTTACAATATAATGAGCTTACTTGTGAATTTGACACTTGGGTTAAATGCAGAATTCATAGAAGCACAGCTCTGGGGTCTATTTTCATATTAAGGTTAACTGATAAAACCTAGGAATTGTTGCATGATCACACTAAAATGGCAACAGAATTGTCAGTAAAATTCCCTTTTGAAAATGAAAATGATTTTTCTGTTGCTATCATTGCTGTTTTAAACTTAAATAAGTTATTAGAAAGACATGAATATTAACCCTCAAAGATCCTTTAGCCTAACAGTTCTGCCTTTGTCTTACTTAAACTGTCTCAGAAATCCTGATTTTTCTTCACAAACAGTTCTGGCTGCCAGCGTAGGACCATCACACTCAAACCCAATATACTTGTGTCCAGGATAATGGTTAACCTTCGTTCGTCATCTTATAAGACAGACATTCTAAGGTCTAACCTGCTTCCTCCTCACAACTCTTGTAAAGACAGATAAAATGTAGAAGATAAAGCCTTTTGAAAATCCAAATGCAAAGCCATGGCATTTATTAATTCTTTCTGGAATTAGTTCTTTCATATGAATTGGCAACTTTGTTGCCTTAGCCTCGACTTCACCCTCCAACACGTGTACCCTTTTATAGCATACGAGGAGGTTGTGTTAACTTTTGAATTCAGTCTTGAATTGGTCACCTAAGTCTGTACTCTTCCCATTAATGTGTTTGTCTTATTGTGGTCTTCGATTGTCACTTTCAAGAGGATAGAGCCACTGATTGTTGTTTTGTTTTTCATTTGTTAATAATACATGATATATGGTGAGGTGGTTCAGATCCTGACTCCAAATACTTGGGAAACTTGGACAAGTCTTAGCCTCAGTTTCCTCACCATTAGAATGGGGTTAGGAAAAAACACACTTGTTAGGAGTTGATGGGATAGTGTCATGTGGTAAATGCTGAGTAAATAGTAGCTGTTTTTGTCTTCTTGTCTGTGGCATCATTGTCATTATCATCATTGGTAACCTTCTGGTATTTAGAATTTTTTACAGTGCCCTGATACAGAGACACTAAAAGGAAGGTAAAAAAGAATGTGTGACTTACAGGACAGTATCTTTTGTCTGTTAGCAGAAAAGGAGCTAAGAACAAGCTTAACCTGACGCTTGAAACTCTCAAGCTGATACAATATTTTCCGTTGTCTTCGTATAGCAAATTTGTACACATAGCAATGATAAAAGGAAGATGTTTTACTCTCTGTTTAAGTTCAGAGGTGGATTTTTGGAATTTTGACAAATTCTGAAGTTTACAATCGATCAGATCCTAACACGCTAGTTCTGTGTACCTAATGTTCATAGGTTTGTTTTTCATAGGCCAGGAAGTTTTACTTGGATTTGTGTCTTTTGTGGTTTTGCTTCATTGATTCAAATGGACTGCAGCTGAATTTAACTCCTAAGGCACCAGTATGAATATTATACAGTGCATAGGTAATAGATTAGATCTTGTTTTAGAACTTCTTGTTAAAATTCAATTATATGTCTCCCAACTAATTTGCAGATGATGTGTTAAAATGGAAAATTTATAAGAATTGAGAAGACATTATTGGTTTATGCAATAAATCTTATGCTTTTTAAAGTCCAGTGTTCTCAGTCAGATTATATTAGCTTTCTGTATTTCTTATTTAAACATTAAAACTGAGAGACCCTTGCTGGGTATGAAAGAAGAATAGTAGTTTGCCGATTAGCAGTTTGCAGTAGATGATTAAGTTAGTGACTGTAGCAGAGGGCCACATGGTAGAAGGAATATTCTCTCCCCACCACCCTCCTCCTTTCCCAAGGGCAGCTGACCTTCTCCTCTCCAAAGAGGCAAGCCCCTTGCCAGCACATATGACTACAGACTATTACATTAATCTGTTTAGCTGTAGTACCAGCTGCTTGCATGTTTTTAATTATCTTATTAGATGGTATAACAGTGACCTATGAAATAAATTGAAGGTGAACATTTTTAAACTTTCCTTTTTTACCCTATGTTTCTAAATATCTTTATTGATCAAATTATAACTTCCCACAAAAGTTCATAGAAGTCTATATGGTTTTTGAATCTGTGTAATGCTTTTTTCACATACAATGTTATAATTCCCAAAATAGAAAATAACTTCATTTTTGCCTCATTTTTGATTTAGGATTGCCTCATTTAAGATTTAGGTTATGTTTATGTAGCGACAAATCCATGTTAAAAATAAATTGGTTAAATAGTCAATTTAGTTAGAGAAGACTCAGACCAGTTATTGGCATTCTCGGGGAAACTCAGAATATTGCTTAATTTTCAGACATCATCTTGGTGTGTTGTATAAATGTCATAGGATAGAAAATAAGTCATTGTAGATTATTTTTAAATAAATTAGTTTATTTAACTATGATTTTCTAGATTCTGATATGCAGTAGTAAATCATGTAGTCTACCCTAATTACTTTTACAATTTAATTTCACATGGTACCATTGCTGGGTGTATTTTCCCAAGCTATGCCATTAGGAAAAATGTATATCTCATGAATTTTGACAATTGGATAATTTTCAAATAATACTTTGTAAATTAAGTGTTGACTCCAGGAGACACAGTTCAAAGTAGTAGCAACCAATGGTGATTCTGTTATAACTCATCACCAATAAACAAAGAATATAATAGAAACCTTGGTGTTGAATTAAAAAGCAAAGGTATGCAGAAAGGATTGTAAAATATTTATGCATGTCTTTTGAATTAGTAAATCCTACAACTGGGATGGTGGGGTGACTTGAGACTTGAAAAATTTATAAAGACCTCAAATATTTGTAAAGTACACATTACGTTTTTTTTAAGATTAAGAAATACCCATTCTTTTTAGCTTCCTTTTTTTTCTTTTTTTTTTGAAGTTTATTTTATTTCTTTTTAAAGATTTTATTTATTTATTTGACAGAGAGAGACAGTGAGAGAGGGAACACAAGCAGGGGGAGTGGGAGAGGGAGAAGCAGGCTTCCCGCTGAGCAGGGAGCCCGATGCGGGGCTGGATCCCAGGACCCTGGGATCATGACCTGAGCTGAGGGCAGACGCTTAATGACTGAGCCACCCAGGTGCCCCTT